ACTGCGAGGATATAAATACAATACCCTCAGCAGCAAGACTTTGTAAAGTTTTATCGAAAGAAAGGGGGGAAGGTGCAGGTGTGATGTCCTTGCCCAATGGAAGTAAAACTACATCGGCGGAAGAGACATTACAACACCTAATATTCACACACTTCCCCGACTCAGAATTTACCAATGAACCACCTATGAGGACGGATCCAGTGAGGAGAACTCACATGGATTACAGAACGGCCTCAAGGGTGGTTACATATGAGAAAGTGAGATGGGCCATCAAGTCTTTCGCACCATTCAAATCGCTGGGTGTGGATGGTATATTTCCGGCCCTCCTCCAAAAAGGACTGGATGCCATCATACACCTGCTTATGAAGATACTACGATCCTGTCTGGCTCTGGGCTACATACCAGTGGAATGGAGATCGGTCAGGATCGTTTTTATCCCAAAACCAGGGAAAATAGATTATTCCCAGGCTAAAGCGTATCGAACTATCAGTCTGACGTCCTTTCTCATGAAGACGTTGGAAATGCTGATAGATCGACACATCAGAGAAGAGCCGTTGCAAATGAATCCACTGCACGAACAGCAATTTGCCTACCAAACTGGAAAGTCTACAGACGCAGCTCTCCATCATCTTATTCGAAGGGTGGAGAGAGTGCTAGCTTGTGGACGATCTGCCATGGGGGTCTTCTTAGACATAGAAGAAGCATTTGATAATACGTCATTTGAGTCCATCTGCTCCGCTGCGGAAAGGCATGGAACTAACCCAACTTTAATTAGGTGGATACGGGCCATGCTATCACAGCGAATAGTGAAAGCAGAATCAAGTGGGAGTTCTGTGACCGCCAGAGTATCAAGAGGGTGCCCTCAAGGTGGAGTTTTATCACCGCTCCTATGATGCCTGGTGGTCAATGAGCTCCTCACAACACTCAATGAGTCATGGATAAATGCGCAAGCATATGCAGATGACTTAGTTATTATGATTCAAGGCCAACCGGTGAACCACCTAGGGAACTCCATGATGGGAGCTCTCAGGAGAGTGGAACAGTGGTGCTCCGCCGATGGGCTTAGAGTGAATCCTGAAAAGGCGGATCTGGTGGTATTCACCAAGAAACGTAAAATAGGGACACTTCCAGAGGTTTTTCTTTCAGGAAGGTGTGTTCAATACAAAGGCTCAACCAAATATCTTGGAGTCACAATCGACTCCAAGTTGACCTGGAATGAGCATATAGGTAATCGCACCAAGAAGGCTATATGCTGCTACTGGGCATGCAGAAGAGCCTTCGGGAAAACGTGGGGCCTATCACCTAAGACCCTTCACTGGATATACACGGCAATTATTCGCCCAACACTAAGGTACGGGTCCATCTTATGGTGGGCCAGTACTAAAAAAAGCAAAACCCGACATGAACTGGATAGATTTCAGCGACTGGCTTGCTTAGGAATGACAGGTGCTATGGGAACAGTGCCTACTAGGGCCCTTGAGGTCCTACTAGGTCTGCCCCCCCTACATCTGATTGTAGAGCATGAAGCCATGCGCACTGCCTACAGACTCAAATGTGCAAACCAATGAATCGAAAAGGCAGACTATGGACACTCCCTAATATGGAACAAGGCCGAAGAAAGCTGTCCCAGTCTGCTGATGGTAAGGGACAGCACTCCGCCAGTTCTGAATTTCAATAAAGCTCCGCATGTCATTTTTCCTACAAAAGAGGAATGGACTGGCAATACACCAGGTTTGCTTTCTGCCAACGAATCAACCTGGTTCACGGATGGCTCAAGGTTTGGTGGCGGGTCTGGTGCAGGAGTATATGAAGGAGGAACAGGGAAAGGAATCTCAGTACCTCTTGGCAAATACGCTTCAGTGTTCCAGGCCGAAGTGTTTGCAAGTTCGGCAGAAGTGGACTTGAACCAGTCACCATATGCTCGGACAGCAAAGCTGCTATTATGGCATTGAGATCCAATAGGATCACAACTAAATTGGTGTCCGAGTGTAGAAGTGCCTTAGAAAATATGGCGAAAACCAGGAAAGTCAGCCTCATGTGGGTTCCAGGACACTCTGGTATCCCGGGGAACGAGGAGGCAGACAGACTAGCCAAGATCGGTTCAGGAACGCCACCCATAGGACCAGAACCGATATTGGGAATACCCAATAGTACGGCTATGTCCTTCATGAAGGAAATGCTAGGCAATATCTTGAAACATGGCGGGACACACCAGGAATGAGACAATCAAAGCTCCATATAAAGGAACCTTCAAAAAGGCTCACGATAGAGATCCTGTCACTTAATAGAAGGGATCTCAAGATGGTAGTTGGGCTCTTAACTGGGCACAACCACCTCAACAGGCACCTAGAACTCATAGGGATCAAAGATGATCCCATCTGCAGATGGTGCTTGGAGGATGATGATGAAACATCATCACACATACTCACTGAATGCCTCGCGCTGGTGCATCAGAGGAAAGCTGCCTTTGGGAGCATTGTACTGCACCCAAAGGATGTGAAAGTGACTCAGCTGAGGAAGCTGCTGAATTTCATCAAAGAAATCGGCATGCCCAGCTGATTCACAGGACAAGTGGGCGCACAATGGGCCCGACTGAAGAGGCCTGAGTGCAGGGGTCTACGCACCCGCCCACATGTGCAGAGAAGAAGAAGAAGGAGAAGATGGTATCTGTCATGGACATCCATATGGTAACTTTTATTGGATGGCCAAAACGTATGCATTCATATATAGGGATAATAAGATCTGGTCAATAAATAGAATCTATATTTCTGGTTGTTAGGGGTTAGGTAGGTAGAAAACTAGGTAGGTAGGTTAGGTTAGGTAGAAAACTAGGTACTATAATAGTCTCTATCAGATGGATGTGATATATTGCTATTATTGAAACCCCCTTCATTATCTTCAGTTTGGTAGAGCTGAGAAAATATGAGTTCGGTCTGAACAGAATTTTCAAGTTCACTTTTGCACTAATCGGTACTTTCAGATCCGTTTTACTAGTTGAAAATCTTCATCTTTATCAACACATCCTAGAATGGCTTTTCACTTCAAGTGATCTATTTACTCTCCGACCGAAATAACATTAAAATAAAACACAATAAGCAACTCGTCGTTCACACACGAATATTAAGGAACAGTCGAGGGAACAGATTGTCAAAATAATGTCACCCAATACAAATTAGAACGAATTATGTGTAAATTTTCAGTCTCAGTAGTCACAGAAATCTATCAATGCATCAACGTTAACAACAATAACAATGGTGGACGGCATCACGACTCATATCACTGCTCTGACATGGCTGACCCTGTGTTCCCATGGTCTCCGAAAGAGCCAAACGATGTCGTTGATACCCGATACTGTTGTGTAAAGAAACGTTATCAGTGGGGACATGGAATTGCCACCATATGAAATACTTTTCCTGGACATCCATAGGATAACTTCATGTGGACATCCGATTGTCGTCCAGAATGTGTCCATGGAAACGTTGGACATATAATGGACACCATATGGTTCACTGTACCTGCCAAACGATGTCGATGATACCCGATACTGTTGTGTGAAGAAACATTATCAATGGGGTCATGGAATTGCCACCATATGGAATACTTTTCCTGGACATCCGTTGGATATCTTCATGTGGACATCCTATTGTTGTCCAGAATGTGTCCATGGACACCTTGGACATATAATAGATACAATACGGATATCCAATAGACATCTTGTGTTATTAGGGATATTCACTGCTTTGCAGATGATACTACTCTCCATACTGTTCCAGAATTCCTATAACTTCCTAGGAAATTAAGAACTCACTACCAAGGCTGGTCAACGCTATCAATGAAGATCTTGCCAAAATCACAGCCTGGGGAACCAACAACCTAGTTGAATTCGACGCCACCAAAACTAAAGCCTGCGTTTTCTCTATAAAGGCGGAACACGGAGTATCCCTGATATAACAATGTCTGGTATCACCATTCCCACCAAGTCCGCTATATCTATGATCGATATTTCTATCAGTAATACTCTTTCATGGAAAAAATCATGTCCAATCCATCGCGAAAGCCGCTTCACACAAACTCGGGTTTTTGTTCCTTGCGAAAATCAACTATTTCACCTCAACGGCTCCTCATGATCTACAAAGCACAGATACGACCAGTTTTAGAATACTGTTTTCAGATATGGGGTTCAGCACCTAAACATGAGCTGATAATCTTAGATTCTATCTAGGGAAGAGTCATTCGCCTGGTGGATGAAGCCACATTCACTAGTTCTTCAACAAAATTGAAACACCGTAAATAAATCGACGACCTCTCACTTTTCTATACATACTTCCACAGGAAATGTTTCTCAGAAATATCTGCTATCATTCCATCACTAGCAATACCAGTCAGACGGACTGGACAAGCCCAGTCAGCACATCCATCCGTTGTTAACCTTGAGATATGTCCAACAACACTTCACCAACACTCGTTCGTCTGTGGAACGGCAAAGCTTTGGAATTCACTGCAAATGAAAGTATTTTCTATAGGCAGTATCAAAGTTTTGCTGAACTAAATTTTATAGATAATTCTCGAATTCATGCTTTGAATGTTCACTACTCATATGTATAGTATAGTAGATAGTAGGTATCCTTGTTTATTGAATTAATTACGAAAATTTGACTAAGCTATGGCATCGGGTTTGATAAGTATATCCAATTATTGTTAAATTTGATAATATTCATATTTTTATATATTTGAACCTAAATTATAAATTTTCATGTAAGTAATTACATTATTATATCTACCTGGATTGGTAATCTTTCATCTAAAGTGGGTCGGTCACGATAAAATCAGCTCTTGATTTATACATCTATATATTATTGTTTGTTTTTCGGTTGTTTTTTCCGTTTTTCGAGGGTTGTATATCAGCACCATCAGCACTCAAGAATCCAATTATCTATGGATAGGCAAATGTGTTATGATAAGAATTCAGTATTTATTCTCCAAGAGCGTGGAAATTCTATGAGTTGATCACTCTTGTATTCAAGATGCAGGTTATCGTGTTACCTTTGGTGTTTTTGGCAACTTGTGAGTTTTTTTTTCAGTTCAATTATTTCAAACGATCTGAGTACTATTTTTTCCGCGGAATTTTTATTCCAGCATTTTTTCATCCTCAGCATATTAGGGACCGGCAACCGTACGGGATAGTTCAAATTTCTATAACTGATTGTATATAGGGTGTTCCTGAAAGGTCTGTACAAAATCTCAACACATATCTCTGAGATCAGAATGAGCACCTTATACTTCAGTCTCAAATTGCTCCGTTTCCGAGTTACTGGGTCGTAAAGTTGAAGAATAAAAATCGAATTTTTCAGAATGTATATATTGGGTTTTTTTTTGGGATGCGAAATACGGATACGGGCACCTTTTTATTGTGGCCACTATATTCCTTGAGAAAATGGTGTTAATGAAATTTTTGAGCAAATAAGATACTCCTGGGATGATTCGCTAAAATGAGCCGATTTCGAGTTATTTCTGTTTCCAATGATCGATGCAGCAATTATTTTGAATGGAACATATTTGCTGTTAACTTCTTGAATGTCATTTGGTCAGTGAAACAGCAGCGCAAAATTGGATTCTTCACAATACTTTCTTGTCGATTTTCATGTTTTATCTTCACCACCCTGTATCTCGGAAACGAAGCAGCTTCGTATAGAGGTAATTTGCTTCAAATGGGCTCATTTTAACCTAACCTGACCTTGAAATATAGGCTAAGATGTTGTACTAAAAGGACAGTGGTTACAGCAGCGAATCATTTGAGGTCGAGTTTTAAAATTTGGTGGATAGTAATTTCACCAGATTTCTCATTTTTTGGAAAAAACATTTTTTGTTCTTTCACTTCCGTTTCCACCGGAAGCAATAACAAATTTTCATTTTTGAATAGTCCGTTTTTCTGTGTATGGATTCAGAGGATCTTTGTCAATGCTTGATTTCAGGGGACCATTTTGCACACTTTAGAAATATTTTAAGATCAATGTTTTAATTAGTTCAATCAATCTATCTATCAATCGTTTATTGGTGTCATTATATAATAATAGTTATTTAACCAACTAGTGTATTAATGAGTGCGATTAATTTTCGAGATCATTAATCGCCTTTTAATATACGAGTTGGTTACAAAATTTTTCCGTCGACTACATTTCTCATTTCTCTGCAAAGAAGAAAACTTGGTTCGCGAATTCATTATTCATCTGGAAACTACTAAGAATCACCCAGTAGCCTTGTTACTGGCATTAGTGACATTCGACATTTGTCGAAATGATCAACATAGAATATAAATTCCTTGTGTTAGAAAACATGGATTAGAATCGTTTCAGAAACTTGGAAAGGCTAACCCGTTAACGGAAAAACTTCGATGAAATCCATATTTTCGAATTAATTGATGCAGATTCCGTGAGTTATAGCATAAACAATGAATGCACGCGGTGTATGTTTGGTTGCCTATAAAACAATCGTGCATTAATAGACAAATTGATCATGAATAGTGGTCATTATTACGATTCCATAAACATTAAACTCACTCGTTAATAGGAAGTCAGGGATGAAAATCGTGTCAGAAACTTGGAATTCGAACCCGTTAACGAAAATCGTCGATGAAATCCATATTTTCGATTTAAATGCAGATTCCGCTAGTTATAGCATAAACAATGAATGCACGCGGTGTATGTTTGGTTGCCTATAAAACAATCGTGCATTGATAGACAAATCGTCCATTAATAGGGGTCATTAATGAACGCGATTTCATATACATTAAACTTAGTCGTTAATACGAGGTCGACGGAAAATATATTTACAAAGGTCAAATGTCATATAAATACATAGAGGGAGACTGACTTCTCCAGTAAAAAAATAGTTTCATCTAATATGTCTTAGAAACTACACATTTAACATCAAGCAAGGAGTGAATTATAAGGACACAAAATGACAGTTTAAAAACTCATCAAACGAATAAAATGCTTCTTCCAGTAAAAATGTCTTGAGACTTCCTATGAATTTTGAACCATCCATTTGTTTAAGCTTGTCAGGTAAAACCACAGTTGTTAATCTGTGGTAAAACAGTTAAAAAAACGTACCGCAAGGCATCTAGGGCCATCTTTGTTAATGAAACAACAGCTGAGCATAAACTGGTTTATTTTACCTCAATATCGACAGCAATACAAGTGAAGTTGATGAAATAGAATTCATATACTGGGTACTCTGCTACAATCTTGACACGTTCCTAGTCTACAGAATTTGGGTTGTTCTTGCCTGACAGTGACCAAAAATTGATAAAGTGATATAGTGGTAGTGATAGTGCGGTACTGAAGATCTAGAGTACTAATATAATACTAAACAATGAACTTTACGTTAATCTTTATGTTGAGGAGGAGTTGATTGCAGTAGTAATCAGCATGCTAGGCTACCTAGACCTTGAATACCTCAACCAATCAATATACGGTCACCTCAGATCAACAAGGGAGGCATATATTGTTATAAAATAAAAAATAATCGAAATATATTGCTCTTCCGACATTCTGTTTTAAAAGAGTTTATAGTGTCTGTGAAATGATGCCCTAAATGCATGCATCGAAAAATATACAGGGTGTCATATTTAAAAATCAAAAGTTGCTTCCGCTTGAACCGAAAGTGATGAAACGAATATATTCTTGTCAATGAAGGAGCAATTTGATGATATTTTCAATTTGCAATGGCTGAACGTAGCTGTTATTAAAAAAATACCATTCATAGTCTTCTGGTAGGCATTCCAAAAGATAATAGAAGAATAATACTGATGACAAGTCAGGGATTTATGAAATAAATTGTAATGACTGTAACATGAAATATATTGGACAAACATGTCGAAGCATTGACATAAGTTTTGAAGAACATATATTGCTCACTTCAAATATAAACGGTTTGATAAATCAAATGTGGCCCAACATATTCTTGAGATTATAGTCATATTATCATTCTGCATAATTCAAGACTTATTAGATATGTAACAAACGATAGAGAATCGAACAGTTCGGAAAGTAATAGAGATCATTTCATGAATCAAGATTTACGACCTATCCCTAGCTCAAAACTTCTCGAATTACTTCAACACGATGTTCATCGAAGAAAAGCCGCTTTCTGAATTGTGAAATAATTCGGATTTCGGCTTTTCGCTTATCATTACCCAGATAGCACACGACGTCCCGGGGACGTACATATTACGTCCGATTCGGGTCCGTACGTCCCGGAACCTAATATGGACGTCCTCAGAACATACCATGCCGTACGTCTTCGGGACGTACAGAGCGTACGTTTTCAGGACGTCCATTTTTCGTCTTCATTTTTTCTATATTCATTATTCACTCTATATTTATTATATTTTCCAATAACAATAAAACATTGCCAAATGTGATCAAATGGAGAAAGAATAAGGGCCCTTATTATTGGCTGCCGATTTATTCGATAATAGGTCACAATGAATCACGTGATTTTTAGTGACCAATGTGGAGAAATGGAAGTAAATCTGTCAATGTTCGCATATATATTTTTATCCTAAATAAAGATGAAATTATGTACACATTTGTCTTACGTCCTGGTCTTTATATGACCAATCAGAAAATGCAGACTGATTCATAGCGAATTCCATTGAAATGAGCTGGTGGAGTGTTTCTGTCCTCAATGTATATGTTTCCATCTTTACTCGCATATGTTGAACAGAGGTAAGTCTTATATTCAATAAGTGTTGTGTAGAGTTGTTGGTAAAGCATCTGCTCGGTAATTCAGAGGTCGCGGGATCGATCCCCCAGTAGGAAGGATTTTTTCAAATTTTGCATTCAAAATAATATTTTTCTACTCTGTATAAATGTCTTGTTTATCTATCTGAGTGAAAAAGGGCGAATCTACGTTGATTATGGTATTCATGGCGATGAAATACCAAACTTGGACTTAATATGGACGTCCCTGGGACGTTCCATCTTGTAACATCGGACGTCCCCAGTACGTCCTGTGGACGTCTTCGACCGACACTGGGCGTCTTCAGGACGTCTTGTACGTCCCAGATGTACGTCCTCTGGACGTACACAGGACGTCTTCGTGTTATCTGGGTATTGAAGTATTTTTTAGGTTCGTTTTTGTATTTGATGTACATTTATAGGCATTATCATTGTGTATCATTAATTGTTATTCAGTGTGTTTCGTGGAAGAAACATATCGAGTATACAGGGTCCTGCCGATTTTGTAGGGACTGTAGTGCTATTTCCTAAATGGTAGGAGATCGAAAGTTGATCAAATCAGACAAAAGTTACGTAATTTGAACCTCTTCAATGTGACGTTCTACAATTTGGAATATCTTGAAAAAACTGAATATCACTGATATCGTTTTTATTTATTTTCTTGGTTAAATAATCGTGGAAAAAAGTTGAAATTTTGTGTAAACGTAAGCAGGTAATTAACCCCCATTCTTTTCAGAGATGTACAATCAACTTTTATTCTACTTCTTATGGGGGCCATATTTGTTTTTCATACCATTGAATGAGGTTTAATAGTTTCCTTCACAGCCATGCACGACACATTGACATTATCATACAATTAAGAAACGTCCCCAAAAAACAGTAAGAACCAGTGAACATAAGTGATTTTCAGTTCTTCCGAAATAATTCAGGAAGAGCTGAAGTTATTTTTATTTAAAACGTTATTATAAAACTTTTGCCTCATTTGATCAACTTTCTATTTCACGCCGTTTAGGAAATAGCAATATTGTCCTATAACAGCTATTTTTCTGAAATTCGAAATATCAAATAAACACAATAGAAGGAGATTCTTGATATATTTGGAAAGAATGCAACTTCCGCTTCTTCCAGAAATGATATCAACTTCTGATTTCCAAATGTGACTGTATATATATATATAGGTAATTATATTTCAGAAATCCTTGTAATTTTCTAAGTTGGATGATACCTCAAAGTTGATATTCTATTTGTCAGAACACTAATTTTATTTTTTACATTCATATTACAACATAAAATTCGCTTTCTTAATAAACTTATATCGAGAAA